CAGTGATTTCTTTGAAATATCCCAATCACTATCATTTTGCTGTCGCTACTGCGATATCTGAAAAGTTCTTCATTTCTACAATAGTAAGTGCGTTTTCATCGTTATCACGCGTATTTATTTTAATGATTTTACTGGAGCGCTTACCTTCCCACAATCATTTTGTGATTTCCTTTATAATGTCTGAAAAGTCTAGTGACTATGAATTCGGTAATTACTTTACTTTATTCTTTCATCCCTCCATTACCCTTAACTGTTTAAAATAAAAACCTTTCCCGTTTATTGTACATTCCTATATGGAGGAGGGCTTGTATTCCACTGTTTGAGCTGTAAGCTCAATTTTTCGTTTTGTTTTGAGCATGCAGGCTATTTTGGTTTCTTAAGCTTCTCATAAAACCGATGTATTCTAAAGCAATCTATAAGAACATGGATGCAATTAGATGTTGGCTTGGATCTAGATCGTTAATATTATGAGTATTCATGTTTTTGAATTATTATTATCATATATTCTTTCTCATTTACTTTATTTAAGAAGCATTTTCCCACGACGATTAAGCATACAGTTGTTTATTACTAGGCCTCTCTTTGCTTGTCGCTAAATAAAAACTATAAAAGCTATCAATTTTAGGGATCTAATTACTTTATGTTATTATATCCTGAATGAATATTCTGAGATACATTAACTTGCTGGGTTTTTGCATTGGTACTTAACACGTGAAATGTCTCATGATATGTGCATATATCGTGAGACTTTGCCATGTTTAAATTAACAGCAATGTTTGTATAACGCATCCTCCATCTCAAGCCTGCTCCTCAACCTCTCTCGCTTCGGTTCCAAGCCCTCCTCAAAAACATCGGTCACCAGTAAAACAACTTGATATCTCTTCGCTTACACTTCTTAACCCGAAACCAAACGAAAAAGTTCATACGCCGCAAGTGCTGTCCCGCCCATATATCCACACTTTTTCACAGCATCAGGCGCCAGCAACATTTCCCTCAGCAACACCATCAATACAGACTCCTTTCATGAATGAGGCAAATTTCCAGATGGATTCGCTGTTATGTTCACAGCCACGAGAGAAGCCTAGCTCTATTTCATTAGTTGAGATGGTGAAAGAACAGGCTCCTGACCTGTCTGTCTCTGGCTTACCGCTTCAAATAGCCTCACGTTCAGCTAGTGAACCACGCCCCTTTGGAGAGGAACATTCGTCTATTCTCTTTTATGATATGATGCCTGAAGCCGACGGAGCTGCCTCGTGGACTGTTTCGCAATCATTGTTGGCGCCACAGATACGAGGTGATGATCTTGCAGTCGGAACAACGGTTACCAAGATGAAGAGCAAGAGCCTGAAAACAGGTGAATTCAGCGGTGCCACTCTTCTTGACACTATGCGGTCAGGCATAAGGCAAGCACTGATATAACGCACTTGCATTCTGTAAGCTGATTTTCATTATTTTACCTTAGCTCTTTAGAAAACTGGAGCATTAATATATGTTGATTTACGCCTTCTTCTAGAGTGGCTTTCCTATGAGATTTCCACTTGCATATTCAAAGGTATTTACTTTTTAAAATCATGGCCCAATTCTGTTTTTACATTATTGTTGGGATTACTTCCATTTTGAGTAGAAGTGTTGGGTGAAGAGATTCGAAGGTCGGTTCCACCAGAA